ATACATACATACATACATATATATATATATATATATATATATATATATATAAATAAAAGACCCAAATGCCGTCCTACTGAAAGGAATCTCCATTCTTAGGTCTCATTCTGCCTGAATCCTCCTGATCATACTCCAATCCAAAACAGTGATATAATGGTCACTGCACCACATACTGGTGGAACCAGTTAATTTTAATCATTTTACTTTTAATAACGACCATTTTCTAGATCCTATATGCTTTTAAATGGAAACTTTGGTCATTTAGTTGCTTTGAGAGGAGCAACCATAACCAGAATGTTCGATGTTTTATTAGAGTTTGCATACTCTAATAAAACATATTAGAGTATTAGAGTATGCAAAATATTTCAAGGAAATATTTTATTACCTTGTAATAAAATAGTATTTTATTACATTTCAAAGGTCGATTTTATTACATCATTACATATTGCAGTGTTACAGGGTGGTTTATATGTGGAGAGTTTTTATGATTGTCTCCCCATGGCCATAAAATGAGAAAAGAAAACTTTTTTTTATCTTTGTTTTTTCCCCATGTTTTTTTTAAGTTAAATTTTGAGTTTTCATTAGTTGTGAGATACATTCACCAAAAATAAAAACATGAACTTTATCAATCAGTGTACAAATTTCCCTTTTTAAATTAACTCACTAAAAAAATACCAAATTTTTGTTTGTATATTTTTTATATTTCACTGAAAAAAAAAGATGGAGCTCCAGTTTAAAAACATTGTTTTAAATGAGTGAAGTTTGTCAGACTTAATTTATTTACATTTGTTTAACCTGACAACTTAATAAACTTAATAAATTAATTAAGTTAATTAATTAATTAACTTAATTAATTAATTAAGTGTAATATGCAATATATACTTAAATATATTGCATATTAATGCAATATATTTAAGTAGGATAACTTTTTATGCACTTTTTCAGTGCATCTTTAAGAGCCATTTAAAATTGAGCTCTAACTTTTATGAATTTGAAGTGCCATCTGAAGAACTCGTTCTGCTTAAAGCTGTTAGAATAATAGAATTCAGCTCTGGTGCCAGGTATTAGTAAATTAAGTCAAAATGAAAACATATGTCAAAGTAAATGCAAATGAGAACATAAATTCAGGTTAAGGAGAGTCACACCTCTGTTGGATATGTGGTTTCTCCCTCCTCCTCGAACGTCTAGACCAGACTTCCTGGTTGGCTCTAAAGACAGAATTACATATTAAAACATCTGAACATAGAACGATATGATAAAGTTTGCTGCAGAGATACTTTAATTATTCGTTTTGACTCACTGGAGGACTTGGGCAGACCGTCTCCTACAGAAATGGTGAGAGTCTTCCCTCCCGGTTTGAGCTGAGCCAAATCTCCTTGACCTCTTTGAAAAACTACAACCCTGGAGGTTCCTCCGCCCCAGCCCTCCTTCTTCACTTTGAACTCCAGTCTGAAACACAGAAAATCTGTGTCAGATCCTTTTATTTCTGCTTTATCAGGCCTCTGAACACTTTCTGTTGTTCTACCTGTCAGAAAAGGAGATGGTCATCTTTCTCTGGGTCACTTCCTCGTAGCGTTTAGAGAGCAAACTGAGAAACTCCGTCTTAAAGTTGGACTCCAGCAGACTGTCATACTGGGCCTCGTGCAGAATGAAGAAATCATCTTGTCTGGAACTGAAAAGAGGAAAAGTGAGCTTCGAAACTCTGCCCTAAGATTAAAAAAGAAAAAGGAAGCAGTACTTAGAAACAGACATAAGATCAAATTAGAAATCAATGTATCATCATATAAAATTATTCTGTATTCGTATTCAACTTTTTTCTTATTACTGAAACATAATAAGTTAAAAAATGAAGCTTTATTCCAGCACTGATGGCAGGTGTTATGCAGCATATGTGCTCATCAGTTTAATTTATTGCTGTTTTTATGGTATATTGTAAAATAACGACTATTTAGCTGCTTACTTCTGATGAGATTTAGCCTCAGTTTAAATGTGGAAACAGATATCAGGAGGAGTTTCTGCGTTTAAGTCTGACTATCAATTTGTTCTGTACAGTATATAAAGTAATCTGCTGCACCCAATAAACCACAGCATATCTGCATGAGAGCCTACACAACATTGTAAAAAAAACTGAGCCAGCATTTGATGCCGTGGGATAGTGCATTTAGAAATGATGCAAGATGAGCAAACAGTATTTACCAGAAGTCCCAAATCTTTCTATTTTACTAACATGTCATTTTTTCTGCAATATTAATGTCTTGGAGCAGTCAAGGACTTGAAGCTGAGAATCTGTGAGCTAAAAGATTAGAGTGGTAGTAAGTAGGCCTACTGACCTCAAAGACTAGAGCACAGAACCAAAAATAAAGTCCTAAAAACACCAGCGGAAACATGCAAAAATACTGTTCAGCAATTCTGAGAAGAGTTTGATTGCTGTAATACCTAGTATTGGGTTGCTACCTAAAAAGTTAGTGGCACCGATATAAAAGAACTAATCATAAACATTAAATCTGGTAACATTAAAGCACCAACATGGAAGCTAATGCTAAAGTGCTAACTTCAATTTGAATTGCCCTTGAAAGACTGCAAACCTCAAGCACGAAATATATTTTGACTTTATAATATACATTTGTAGCACCCTTAGATAATGTATTTATGTTCATATCTTGCCCTCTACTGTCTACTGTGTTTTAATTTCCATATTTCGATTTTAACAAGTAAAGTTATTGGGGTGAAATAAGAGAGAGAAAATAGAAGAGGAAACGGAAAGTGCTGCGTAATTTTCACTCACTTCAAAATAAGAGCATGAATAGAAAGGTTAAAGAATTCTTAACGGCCGTAACCGAAACTTCGACAGATGTAGAACTTCAATCAACTAACAGTTTACTAAACAGTGTTGAAGAAGATTTAGGTTATAATATTTCTTAAGAAAGAAACTCTTTGGCTCGATCTCCTTCGATCCCAGGTTCTCCCGCCGCGTGTAGCCACACAAAAACAACAATGAGTGCAGACGTCACAGAATTGCAGTTTAATCCAATAGAAGACAACGCATAAAATTACAACAGAAACTGCAGAACAACAGAGACATACATTCATTTACCTGACATAAATGGAAAGAAGAAAGAGAAAGAAAGAAAGGAAGAAAAGCAAAGACGTCTTGGAGAATTGCGAGAACAAATCTAATTTTTTACTTCTATGTAGAAAGTTTTATAGTGAAGATGCATTCTTATCTTTAATTTATTCAAATAAGGCGTATATTTGCTCATCCAACCAGGAGCTATTTCTGACCCTCTCTCAAAAGCCAGGAACTCCTGCTGTTTTTACAGCTTTTCACAGATGAGTGTGAAAAGCTAGAACTTCTACTTATTGTTTTCCCACACAGACAAAAGGCAGTTCAAAAGATCTTAGCAAACCATCTGCTTTAACTACAGGTAACATAAAGGTCAATAGGCCAGAATAAGTTACCAATTTTAAAACTATAATTAGGCTATTTCAATCAAGACATGTTAAGTTTTAAAACTAGCATATTTTAAATTTATTTTCTTAACAACAGACAGGCAAATTAGCAGTTTAGAAATTATCTGAAAAAAAAGTGCTAAACTTACAATACTTGAGAAATTGTACAAAATCCAGTAGTTTACCCTTCTGTTGGCCCAGTTAGAGAAAACAGATGAGTTGCAACTGATGAGGTTGGTTGCTACAGCTACCACTGCTAACAACAGTGTCTTAGCGTTGCAACACTGTTCAGCTAATATAGATTTTTTGTGGCTTAGTTGCAGAAACTCAGTTTAAGTGTGCAAAAACAAAACTTCACCCTAATATAAATAAACTGTACAAAATGGGGAACACAAAAGCACTGCAGAGATGTTTTGCTTTATAGAGCTTTTAACTAAGGAGAGGTAATTAACTACTGGTATAAATAAAAATACATTGATGCAAAGAAGTTCTTTTGCTCAGTTTGTGTTGCTTTCTCACATCTATTTCTGCAACAATTAAATTTTATATTGATTTGGAATGTGCAATTCACTGTCCATTATAAAAATGGATAATAAAATATAGGCTTAAAAAGTTTGATAATGTATCAAATTATTCAGCAGTATTAAAGCTGAACACCTTAAAGATATTCTAAAAAATATGCTATCTGAAACCTTTCAGATAAATATATTTAATGTAAATGTTATCCTATTCTTTTGTCTCAGTATTGTTTTTGTTGTTTTATGATCTCAACAGTGTTGCTAATGTTTGTTGCTTATTGTAAAAGTGTGGTGTTTAATCTCCCCACCAGGTCGGTATTATAAATAAGAATTTCTTCTCAATAAGTCTTCTGGTTAAATAAAAAATAAACAGAAGAATTTGCTGGTAAATGCAACATTAGCATGAATATTGTTTCAAAGAAAGCCATCTTTGAACTCTGGTACAGAAACATCTGCATTTATTCATCATAAAAGTGTGAAGCCTACCTGAGGGAGACGCCGGTGATGTTTGCAAACTCCATTTTACGTTTCAACACCTCCTTAATCTGCCCTTTCTCAGGCCCTTTCTTCACCTTCTCTAGACCAATCAGATAGATCCCCTTAGGCGTCAAGATCAAGTCTCTCTTGATGGACTGTGTGAGAAGAAGAAGAAAAAGAACTGACAACTGTGTATTGCAAGAAAGGGGAAGAATAAGTGTGAACACAAGCTTTTGTGTTTTAATCCCTATTTGTAACACGCACCTTGAACCTGCGGTCGAACTTTGTGACCGAATCAGCAAAGTCGACGCGCTCCCTCTTCGCCAGGAACTGCCGCAGCTCGGGTCTCTGCTCCAGGCCGAGGTAGTCGCCAACAAAGTTCCTGTTGATGCTGTTTTTCCTTCGCTCTTTCGAGTTGTACAGGATGTCTGAGGCTGCGTGTCGAGAAGAAATGAGGACATGTTTAAAAAACAGAAGTCAGACTGTGTGAAAAGCAGTATGGAGAAACTCATGCTGTCGGCGCTGCTCACCCTCTTCCCTCATCTGTTCGTACTTCTTCCTGGCGTTGTACCGTCTCCAGGCCTTCTGAATGGTTCTGGCGAAGGTGTCAAACTTCCTTTCTCTCATCTCCTCAAGAAGAAACAGCTGAAGAAGAAAAGGAATGTGATTATGTTAAATATAAAGCAATTTTTAATTTAGTATCGCTTAGCATCATCTGTGGGAAAAACTTATTGACTAATCTAGACGGAGGAGGAACCTAAAGTAGTAGAAAATGTGCACTCCATAAAAACAGCAACGTTTGCCCGGTTATTGGACTAGTGGGAGCAAGACGAGGTTGACTCCTCGGATAAAGGTACAGCCCAATCCCGTGGTGGGAAAGACGTTTCTCTCTGGTTCTGACTCTCATGTGTCATTCAGTGGTTACTTTCACACAGCAGGCAGATGCGACCCAAATGCAACCCATATTTGACCTTAAATGGCCAATTAAAATCTTTTCTCCAAAAATAATCCCATCTGAGCCACTTCCATATGATGTACTAAATCTGAAACAGATCCAATAGTTTTCAAAGCCTCTAGAGTCTGAATGGTCATGTCATATGTTGTCCATGCGTCATAATTCTGCACCAGTAGCCGTAAATCTGGATGTAAATAATGGCTAAAAATTATTATTGTAAACTTTTGAAAAAAGTCTGTCATTAAATGCTACATCACAATGACACCACTCTTGGCTCTGACTAGAAGAAGAGGCATTTGCTACTAGGTGTGTTTTCTTTTTATTAGCTTCCTTTATGACTTTATGATATTGTGACATGTCAGCTCTCATTTCTGAATAGACTTTAAAACCAATCCATAAATGCCTCCATCCATTATTACTTTGGTAAGCAATGCTCTGCTTGTGTGACGTCGATGTTCTTCTGTGCATGCAAGTCGCTTTGGGGAGATAAACCGATCACACCGAAGTCTGACTGAGGTCTGGTTTAGTTAGGAGTATGAACAAAAAAATAAATAAAATCTGCAAAAAATTGGAATTGAGCATCAAGACCTGTCGTGAACGTAATCTAAGAATCTAAGTTGGCTCTTTTTGTTCATACATTAAGCCAAATAACATATGACAAAACACAAACTGCACACAAAAATCTCAGTACCGATTCTGGGTTCTTGACAAAGACTTTTGTGCGTCCCATCTGATACTGGTCTGTGTCCATGTTGACGGACCGGAGGAGGTGGAGGACCCCCTGCTGCTCTGGTCCCCTCCAACACGGCCATGTTTCAGCCGTAAGGATGGCATACCTGGAGCCAAAACGCACCCAAAACCATCTCAGTTTTCTTTCAGAACAAACGCATTTAAACACGAATCATAAAACTCACCTATGCAGAAATTTAGTGAAGAGTCGTCGGTAAGCAAATCCAGCTCTTCTCACACGAATGTTTTCCCTCAGACCGAGGTATTCCACTTGATGCTTAACCCTGAAAACAGTCAGGAAATCCCTGTTAACGAGGAATAATCTCCTGCTGGATGTCTGCTTCGCCACAGTGTGCATGCAGACCTGCTCTCCTCCCAGTCTTTCGGCCTTTTCGTCTCATTTGGTTTAATACAGCGGATATAGTGTGGTGTGCATTTCATCAGAGTGCTCACGAGCTCATTCGCTTGTCTCTGTTGGAAGCATCAACAGGCTTTTAATACGTTAAAAATGGAAAATTTAAGTATTTACTTATTTATATATTGACTTACTTTGATCTTTGAGCTGGCTGTGGTCGGCCGCCCTTTCTTTTCCGTGTTGAGGTTTTCAGGGAACAAGCTGCGGATGAAGTTACTAAAGCAAGAAATTAGATTTTTATTAATTTTAACAAGAAGAATTGCAAAAAATTGGTCTTTGTTATTGCTCAAAATGCTTACAATTCACTGCTTTGCATGAGCTCAATGAGGTCAGGGAAGAGGACATCTCGATTTCTCTCACAGAATCCGTTGATATCATACGACACCTGAGGAGAAATTAAACTTCACCTGTGATTCCCACGTTACTGTTCCTGCTGGTGTGATTAACATCAACTTAAAAACTGGAATTTCTGCACCAGATGAGTTGAGTCTGACCTTCCCAGCGTAATGATGGATAACAAATCCAGAGTTCCAGCTGTTGAAATGTTCGTGGGTTCCCACAGCGGCTTGCAGCTTCTGCAGCAGCGTGCCATCTGCGCCCTCACCCTTGGCGTGCATCGTGGCGCAGACGTCGTCCAGGACGCTCATGATGCCAGGAGGGCTCTGCAAGCAGGACGCACAACTTTACCAGTTTAAAGGTTTCCATAAAACTGCTATAAAAACAGGATTTTACTCTATGGGAAACTAATGTTTAAACAAAAAAACAAAACAAAAAAAAACAACAGTTTTTAATGGAATAATTAGGAAAATGATGTTGAGTAAGGTTAATGGAGGTTTTATTCCACGCAGCAACAACAAAATAACCCTTACTCATCTTATTTTAAGCTTAATCCAGTTCTAAACCGGATTAAGCTTAAAATAATTTGGTTTTTATTTTGTTGTTAAAATTTGTTTCAGTTTCAATTATTTTAAACTTAATTATTGTTTTGACTGAATTAAACATGTTGAATTATATGCTCTTTTGTATTTCCCATTTTGAATAATGACAAACTAAAATGGGCCTCGCTGTAATGCAAAGCTATGAATTATGCGAGCAACATAAATACATAAAACATTTTATAAAAATGCTTTAGTTACACTGATTTTAGAGGAAATCTACAAATAAAGATTGGATGTTTCAAATTCCTTATGTGTGAGATTGTGCAAGACAAATAAAACACATTTTTAGGGCTTCTATACATCTTTACCAAGGGTGTCAATATTTTTTCATTTATGGGAAATATTTATCTTACCAGTTTATTTTCAATGAGGTCACACACAATCTTGTTGTTAAAATACTCGATGGGGGTCCATTTAATGCCTTCCTGAACATATTCTTCCTGAGGAAATAAATCAAAAGAAAGCAATTTTTAATAAAACAGGAGATTTGGGACAACTGAGGTTAGTGAAAAAAACATTAAAAAAAAACATTTTGTGTTTACCTGCTCAGCCTTTAAAGTGAGTTCAATAAAGATCTGCTGCAGCTTCTCATTGACAAAGTTTATACAAAACTGCTCAAACCCATTTTTCTGCAGAGGAAAACGCATCACAATCCATATTAAATCACTAAATAAAGCCACCACTTTATGTTTTATTGCCCGTTTATAAATGTTATGCACCTGTAAGCTGTGAAAGCACTAACCTGAAATATCTCAAAGCCATAAATGTCAAGCACACCGATGCTGAACTCTTCATAAGGTTTCTGGATGGCTTTATTTATGGCCTAAAGTACACAGAACACAGTCAGAGGGACATAAAACTAATCTCTGCTGACCAAAATGTGTTTAATTTAGCCTGTTGTGGCTGTAAATGGACGGCATGACATGCTAACCTCTACAAGGTAGTCAAAGAGACGTGCGTAAAGGGCTTTGGCTAAGGCGTCGCGCGTGTAGGTCGCCTGCTCCTGGTTGAGTGTTACGTTGATGGACTCGGACTTCCCGCCCCACTTGGAGTCCATCTTTCGACTCGTCAACTTGTCCTGCAGCCTGGTGGGGTCGATTCCCAGCAGGTAGGCAGGAAAGGCAAGCACTGACGCAAACAAAAACAACCACAAAACACATCAGTTATTAAAAAAAAACAATCTTCAAAGATAAGGCAGAGGCACGAACATATATATATATAATTATTATGTATATTGTATCAAAATGTGTAATGCAGTGTAGTAAAAGAATAAACAATGTGATATACAAACAAAATACATTTAAAAGAAAAGCAAACAAAACAAAAGAATAGTAAAGTATATTTACACGTTCAAAGGAGTGGGTAGAGGAATAAACTTATTTTACCTTCACCCCTTTTACATTTGTAGCATTACACGATAAATTACTGTTCATGTTGGTTTTAACAGCTTTTCTACATCTATAACTAATACAGTTGGTTAGTGTTTCATTTATTTTGGTACAAAACCAACTCTAAATGCAACTCCAGCAAAGACCAGCCCGTTACCTAGCAACCCTAGTGGCAGAGTTCCACTCGTCGCCTAGCAACCCAAGCTGAGTTCCAGTGTGTTTGCTGTATTCACCATTCAATGGATCTATCTATCTATCTATCTATCTATCTATCTATCTATCTATCTATCTATCTGAGCAGAACAGACTTTAACAATTAGCTGGGATTCAGCCTTTGGGAACTGCCTTTGCAACGGTGAGCTCTAATTTGCTCATAACCCTCAGAGGAGGAGCGTTGTTACTCCGTCCCATCCTTGGTTAATGAGCGTGTAACAGCTCAGTGTTATACTCACAGTCTGTGCTTTCCACCTCGCTCTGGTTTCCAGCCTCGATGAAGCTGATGTTGCCCAGATGGAGGATACCTGCTGTGATCTGCAGCACCTGAGCCTGGATGTCACTGGGGATGCCGATAACCTGCATGGCTTCCTGCAAATGAGCAACAGCTCAGTGGTGAACACAGATAATAATAATCCTAAAAATAACAACAATAACTTCATTTATAAAGTGCTTTCATACATTTATAGGGAAACAATTATTATTATTTTAATTTGCACATTTATTTTGTCACCTAGAACAACAGTTTTGTCTACTCTGATCATGGCAGATTGTTTAACTTATAACTAATATTACTTTCTCACCAATATTAAGGAATCATTAACTTAAAACAAGCTTCTGTATCTTGCTGAAAAGTTACTTTTAAGTTATTTTTGTCTCATTTCAAGTGAACTAAGATACTTAAACGTGAAACTAAACCAAAATATTTAGTAAGATTTAGTTGTTTTTTCCCAGTGTTTTTAATTCCTGAAACATGACCACTGACCTTAACTGAGTCAAGTATCCTACTCTTATTGCAGCCTTTCTCAAGCTGTGGTTCCCGGACCACGGGAGGTCCGCGGGTGCCCCCTAGTGGTCGGCGAGGTACTGCATGTAAGTTAGCTTACCAAAAGATTGTGGTTAAAAATAATAATGGGTAAGTGACGTAAAACCAGGTCACGTCAACAGTTATTATTATTTTTATTTAATTAAAAATGATTTATTGGTGAATAAATACAATAGATAAATACTACAGAAGAGGATTAGGGACCTGGAAAATATTATTTAGACTTTAATCTCATAATTCTGAGATTAAAGTCAGAATTCTTTTTTTGTTTTTGTTTGTTTTGTTTAGTGGCCTTAATCCTCTTCCGTCAAATACAATTGATAGAAATGGGTGAATACTTTTTATATGTAATGGTGCGGAAGATAATTTTTGTTTCTGCCACAAACTTAAATCTATTTTTATTTAATTTTAAGTCAAAAATAGCCCTGAAATGACATTGATGGAAATAACACTTGTAGTGAAGAACTTGCTTTTGTATTTTCATGTTTTTGACATTATTGGAAAACTTACAATCCAGACTTTAAGAATTTGTAAATAACTCAAAACGCCCTCCACTTGTTCATGGACAGTAGCATTTATAAAACAGAACCACTTCTCATTAGAATAATAATTTAACTTCAGGTTGGGTATATTTAAATGTGTTATTGCGGGGACACGTTATATGATCTGTGAGTGTTTGTTAAAAGGACCTCTGCACAGTTTCTGCTCGTTATTTTTGTCTTCAGTGAAGACAAAAATAACCAGGTTTTCATGAGTAAATACCATCGTCTCAGAGAAGTCTTTGCTGTCGTTGGTCCCGTCAACCTTGTAGGTCCCAGACTGGTTGAGGTAGTAGTAGTAGTCTGGAGTCATGAGGCCCAGGCCTTCTTTCTGCTGTGCGTTGGCGCCCTCTATCAACTGGAAGCAGACGGTGCAGGAAAACGGTCAAACATGTAACTTGGTCTTTGTTGCAAATATATCATCAGGGTTTAAATCGGCTGCTGTTTTGCGCTGTGCTCTTTCGCCTCTGACCTGGTAGTAAATGTGGAAGTTCCTCTCACTCTCATTCTGGCTCACCACCCTCGACTTCTCAAGCAGGAAGTTAGAGATTTTGCCACCATCTGGTTCCCCACCTCTGCTGAACTGAATCTCAAAGTATTTTCCCTGGTAAACACAAAATCAGTCGTCACATTTGCACCACTACACATATTGTTTTGTGTCACTGGGACCGGAAATGCACCAAGCTCTGCAGCAGAAACAGAAATCTGCATTTATTTTTTTTTTTATATTATGAGCGAGAACGTTAAGTGCATGCATGAGGCTGCAGTGACCCATAAACAGACTTTATGATGCTTCACTGAGGCTTACAGGAAATTTCACAAGCTAAAGCTGCACATGTGGAAGTTGATGTGGTTTAATGGTGTGAAATTAGCGAATTACCATTAGTGGTGAGAAAGAACTGAGTCAAGTCGAGTGGGTTTTGTGTTACTGTCTGTGTTGGAGACAAGGATTTTTAGCGTTTTGTAACCAGAAATCATAACTGGCATTCCAGGCTTAAATAAATATAGTTTGTGCAGAAGCTCCACATGTATTTCAGGGAATTACAGAAATGAAACCGAGTCAAGATCAATCTGGTGTTAGTTTGGTATGTTTGAAGCCAGGCTACGTTCTGCAGGCATTAACCCAATTAATGTTCTGCGTAAAGCTAAAACTAATGCTAAAGCTAAATGAACCAGCATTACTTGTGTTGTTTTGAAAGTCTCTGTATTTTGCACAAAAACTAACTTTAAAAACTTTAAAACGTTTTTACAGTTTCTTTCACATAAAAAATACAATTGTTAATTTTTTTTAATAAAAATAATTTTTTTAATAAAAACATGCAAATAAATGAAACAAAATAAAATATTATAAATAATATACAAAATGTGTTCTGTAAATATAAAAAGACCACATAAAGCAGAATGTATTAGAATAATAAAAACTAATCAGACTGGAACAGTTTTGAAGCATTAAATATTTTTGAAGAAATGTGAGGAAATACATGTGACTTCCTGGCTCGTCTTGTGTCAGGTGATGTTTGAGAAATAAAAGCTCACTTACAAAACGACTGGAGTTGTTGTTTCGGACCGTCTTGGCATTTCCAAACGCCTCCAGCAGAGGATTGGACTGTAGGATGATGTCTTTTACGTGCTGTGACGCATAAACACCGGTTATTTAGAAAAAATTACTCAGATTTAATTTGAATCAAAAATAAAACACGTTGTTTGTTCCTGTTTCTACCTGCACTTTGGATCCACCTCCAGACACTTTGGAAATGTAACCCATGATGTATTTGGCAGCCACCGTCTTTCCAGCCCCGCTCTCCCCGCTAGAACAAAATCACAACTTTTAAGTTATTCATCTCATTTACTTTTATTAAAGTCATCTGAATCAGTCAGTTTAAAGTTTATACCTTCTTTGACATTTAATGAGTGAATTTCAGATTCATCTGGTTAGTCTTTTCCTGTAATTATCTAAAATTGCAGGTCATATTTTAGCTCATCTCCCCATGGCGTACCTCTAGGTTGTGTACTGGGGCCACTATTCTTTCAAAATATCTTTCTTTGTCAAATTCAAGCATTTTAGGCATTTAATATAATTTTTATCACTACCATGCAGACAATATATAAGAGACCTTTTAAAGCCTCAGCCACATTTTTAAATATAAAAAACTGCATGGAAAAAAATAATTTACCTAAATGAAGAAAATACTTGAAATCCTTGAATGTTGGATTATTTCTTTGCTGCTTTAGCCGTCTCTGCTACATCTACAACCAGGAACCTTGCTTTGTGTTTTCACCAAAGTATTACTTTTGGTAATAAATTGATGCTTTTACCAATAAATGCTACATTTTATGACTTCTCAGCTATTTTAATTGCTTAAACAGATGGGAATCAGCTTTAAAAAGCTGCAAAAACCTGATTTATTCCAAATTATTTAAAACTTTTTACCAGGTTTTTTGATTTAAAGTCTTGAAAGCTGCTAAATGAAGTCAGTTTTACTTACTTAATTTAACAGAAAAGAGGAATTGACATTAAAAAAGATAGCAGTTTGAGAAAACTTGGGTTTTCACCTGATGATAACGCACTGATTCTCGCCGTCGATCATCATGTTTCTGTACATGTTGTCTGCCAAGGCGTAGATGTGTGGCGGGTTTTCATACTGGGCCTGCAGAGAGACAGAAGCTGGGGTAAAGAGCTGCAGGAAGAGGAACTGCACCACAAACACCACAGGTCTGCAGAAGTTCATGTGAAGATGTCTTCACTCACGGCGCCTTGGTAGAGTTCAATCTCTCTGTCAGTGAAGTAGGGCATCTGTTTAAATGGGTTCACCGATATCAACACGGGGCCGATGTACGTCTGAGGCGCAGAGTCAAGGAAAGCTCAAAAACACGGTTGTGTCTAGCATAATTCTTGGTGCAGAATGAACCGTAGTCCTATTTTTAAAACATTAAATATACCTTGAGTTATTTTCTTTTAAAGAAAGTCACAAACATACCCAGATATTTTCGGTTTCATGTACGAGTGAATCAGAATAAAAGTGGAATATTTAATCCTCCCACTTTGTCCTGCACCTACACACCTACAATGCAAAATATCCTTAGTTTATCTGACATTTTCCTTCTCTGAAGGAAAAGATAATTAACATAATCACTCTAATGTTAATGCTGCAAAGTACAATAATAATAATAATAATAATAATAATAATGCATTTTATTTGTCAGCGCCTTTCTAAACACCCAAAGACACTTTACAACATTGAAAACACAAACTAAACAGAAAGAAAATGGATATGAAAACATAAAATAACTAAAAAAAATAAAGTGAGAAGGCTAACTTGAACAGAGAGTCAATATTACGGATGTCAGAATATATGAAAAATAACGCAATAATGCACTTTTATCTTGTTATGCTTTTGTTTTGGTAAAAAACAAAACCACAAAATTTTTACAAAATTTTGTGGTTTGTAAAACAAATTTATCTCAAATGCATCTGCAGTTTATATCTGATCACTATCGGAGATGTGCAAGAGACACAAGCTGAGTGACGCGACACAATAAAGTCAAAAAGAAAAACAATATTTAGTCAGACTGTCAGCAACTACATCTGAGACAAAGCCAGATCGCCGAAACGTTTTCCTCTTCAAATTACAGATATTGATCTGGGGGTAATTAGGACAAGTCAATTCTTAGCAATGAAAAATAACAGGGGAAAAAACTGGACAGTTAGACGTATTTCTGTGAATAATGTCAGCATAATTAACTCTTGCAACAAAAACAAGTCGCTTCTGTTTATTTTTTCTCATGCATGTGGAAGAAATGTGAATTAGAGAAGCACCGATCCACTTTCAGTGTCAGCTGATACCAATCCGATTCAGATAAACTGTGCTGAATTACTTAAAACTTAAATGTATTTTCTAACTCTGCACCAGTACCAATGCACCAATAGCTTCAAAATCTTGGTCAAATATGCAAAAACAATTCAAATTTAATTTATTCTGTCAGTGCAATTAGGACTACAAGAGGCAATATAAAATAAATAATAAGGAAACTGAAAGACAAAAACAAAAAGTCGACTACTTTGGTCAATTTTGTAAAAAATAAACTGCAACAAACTTTCTTTCAAATGATTCAGGAAGGATGTCTAATAAATATGATGCAACATAAATAAAGCACACAATTAGACTGAATCGACACTGATACAGATGTTAATATCAGATCTGTGCATTTTTCCTTTGATCATGTGAACTTTTGATTTACGTTATTCCTTTTTTCTTTCTTTTTTTTACAGTTTACTGAGTTTTAAATGCACATCTAAAGTGATCTAACGTGTGATTTGAATCTCATGTGTTTTACAGAAACATGGATGCTTGCAGTCAGCTGACAGGCTGTGGGCCCACAGCTGCCCGCCTGTAGGTGGGGGAAACCATGAAGTGAAGTCATGCCGTCATTCTTGGATGATCTCAGTGTTTCCTGAACGCTTGCAGCTCTGACCATAACAGGCCATAAAATCAACTCGCTTCCTGGTAGCTAAAAAAGTCCAAACGTCAAACCTGTCGAGGAATAAACAAATATACCCCAACTCTCTGCCTTCGAAGTGAAACCGACGATTGATTTAGTAGCAGAGGCAGATGCCTGAGTGTTTGTATTTCATGTAAATGAGCTAAACTAATTTTAGATCCCCAGCTTTGATAAAATTTAGTGTTTAAGTGGTGAATGGCATCAAATTGAGACAAAGAAAAGTTTTTTTACTCTTAGAAAAGAAGCTTCATCATAGACTTTGAGGAAACAGCCTTGTTGATTTCCCAACAGCATGGTTAGTTAAGCAAAAGGAGTAAAATCTTAAACACGCAGACATGAAAACTGTTTCTAAAAATGTTTAAATCCGTCCTGTCAGGCTAAAAAGAAAACCTAATCAAAACAGCTTTTACCTGAGACTTAAACTATTATCCATAATTATAAATAATAGATACAAATCATATAAATTATTGTCTAAACGTGAATAAAGTTTGACATTTCTTTTGGTTGCTTTTTCATTGTTATTATACGGTTTAGCTGTGCTTTGAGAAGACGGAAGTGAGTCTCTGCTGACAGTAAGGAGGAAGAGCGAATCTCTTGTTTTTATGACCATATATGTTTAAACGTTGGGCTGTTTATGCTTGAGAGCAGAGTGATGCATCGAATCCAAGTTTATTTCTACTAAATAATAATCAATCTGATGAGTCGTTTAACTTCTCTAAGCTTCATTTAGTAAAGTTAAAACCTTGATAATCTGGTAATTATCTGACCGCTTGCAGGATACAAAAATGTAATCGTCCATGTATCTCTTCTTGAGGTTTTCCACGATGGCGTCCTCTGTGATCTTGGACAGCAGGACCATGTCGTCCACGCCGCTCTGCTTGACATTCTGACTCTGCCAGTGGTACTTCGCCTGAAACACAGAAATTTAGTCATCCAGGTGTTTCTTCCTGGTTTCACATGTCCTGGATTTAAAAAAAACAACCTCAGGTTATCAAACTGCTTCACATGAGATTTGATGTTGCACATAACTCCCATAAATTTAATGGTTCATCCATGTAAGTTAACTACAGTTCCTAAAAAAGTGAATAAAACCAAATCTAGCTTTCAGACTTCAGTTAATAGAATAAAAATAAGACTTGTATTGATATATTAGTAATATCTGCTCATCTTTAACTGCAAATTAAATTAAATTAGTTTAGACCTCTGACAAATTTAGAATTAAAATTATTTTCTTTCCTTCCTTGAGAAGTTTGTTTCTGTTGGAAAGTGAATCAGACATAAAAGACAATAAAACAATGTAAAAGGGGCATTAATTTAGAAAAAACATACTTTGTTATTAAACAAAGAGCCTCTTTAAAATTACTCTAAATGTGCAGCGGAAAAGTATTTACCTTTAAAGACCCTTCTGAAAATCAGCTTTTTTCATGTTTCCTCTGATATTTTTGATTATCTTTGGAAGACCTCAAATTAAAAAATATTTTTCTAATTAAAAATAACTTGATAGTGTTATTTTAGAAAAGTTTAGAAAATGTGTCCCTGCTTAATTGGGGGAGGTCAGTTTTCTTGCATAATGAGAAATAATTATTTGGTTTGACAGTATTAAGTTATAACAACTCACAAATGAAGATTAATAAATTATCAGAACTTTAAAAACCAATGTTTAGACAAATTATCTCTTCATTAACTCTAATTTCTTTTATTTAATTTCAGCAGGTGAACCTTCATGTTCAAGTTAAATTTTCTTCAAATGTTTTACAAAAGCAACACAAATTAAACTCTTGTGCTTTGCTAGCAGCCGGTTTTACGATGTGAGTCTGTCTCGTGTCGAAACAGTTTGTTCCTCAGTTTCTGGTCAACAATTACCAAAACCTTTAAAGGAAACGCTTTATTATATCTGCCCAATTCTAACAGGAGACATAGGATCCTGTTTCTTCATTTCCTTATTTGTTAACCATAAAAGGTTAAAACCTGTCACAATGTTTAACACCTAAAAGTTTCAGAACAAGAAATAAATCTGAAAATCCGCCAAATATCACCTGAGCAAAAAAGAGTTTGAAAGAACATTTTTCGTACCATAATTTCTGGACTACAAGCCGCTTTGAAAACTGCGGCTTAGACGATGATAAAATATCGATTTTTACCCATGGGTTTCCAAAAGCTGGACTCGTGTGTCGTGAAGAGGACAAGCTCAAAAACTATCTTTATACGCTATAAGAGCGACAATGAAAGAGACTGAGGAAGTGTCTATGAGGCTGATGGACTCTGATACTGAAGAAGACAACTTTAGTGGTTTTAGTAGCAGGAAGATGAAGATAGCAATCATTAAAAGTAATTCTATTTCATTAAAAGTTCATATTTAAGTCAGTGGATGAAACTTATATTCAAGTGTGCTCTGAAATTACGGTGCTATGGTAAAAAAAAAATTGCTGCTAATGTCCCCTCTTTCATTTAATAAGGAAATTAACTCCTTATTGAACTCCAATTAACCACAATATTTTGTTTCGGTTTACACCTCAACGGCTGATCACTGCCAGATCTGGAGAAAATTCACTCAAATACAACCTATCTGTTGATCTGTAAAATGTGCCCTTAGCTAAAGAATATATGAGAATCAAAGTTAATGGGTGTTTTCACACTTAATAGTCTGGTAGGCTGGGTTCAATTGAGGACCAGACGTGCAGCATTTGTTACATTTTCAGCTGGGACGGTTTGCTTTCACTCTACACTGCGTCAAACAATCCAAGCTAATTGAAAAACATGTTCTTCCCCTCGCCTGTGGTGGCGCTGCACCAAAAGCCACTGAAGCAAACGACATGAGAACCTCAGAAGAAGACAGGAGCGCAACTTCCATCTTCAGAAAATGCATCAGATCAAGCATCAGATTGTAGCTGTTGAAGGATTTCTCTCTTATCTTTGCTAAAATACGACGAGACATTTCTCCCACTAGCCCTTGATTCGAGCGTTTTCGTGTTTATTTTGGTTTTATTTACCCAGAATGCCCTGCGCTACCGTCCGCTTCCTGCTTTCGGGTGGTTTATTTCCGGTCCACTTGTATCCACATATGAAGTAGAAATACGACAGAGATTTTTATTTTTGGTGTGATTGCACATTCACACCTCCCTAAAACGGACCGAACTTTCTGGCGCAGGGCATTCTGGGTAAATACACCCAAAACAAATGTTTGTGTCTAGATGATTAGATGGCTCGTGTTTTTTTTTTTTTTTTTAAGTCAACACAAAATAGAAATCCTACACCACTAAAATCTAACTCTACTGTTGTTTACATTTTGTGAAGGGAAAAAAAACTATCATGAAGTTTTGCTTATGTTTTCTTGCGAGGTTCTTATGTTGTTTCCTTGAGTGATTTTTGGTGCAGCGCCACCACAGGCGAAGAGAGGAATAGGTCTTTCAAAGGGAGTGTGAAAGTGAACCACACCAGCTGAAAATATAATTGTTTCAATTTTGATTCGTAATCGAACCGATCTTATCACCTTTAGAGTCAGTGTTCCTGATTCATCAACAAAAGAGAGACTGGCAAAAATACCATCAATGGGAGAGTTACAAACTGACCAAAGAGCAGAGGCTGATTCCTGAAACCATTATGATAATATTCTGTAAACTGACGAGAAAAAATCTGAACTATTTGAGGTGTGTGTGTCCTGGTATAAAACCATTAGAAAAAGAAGCATCAGACCCACCGCCAGACTTTGTGGTAGTGTGAAAGTCTGGAGCTGCAACAGCAAGTTCAGTCCAGAACGGCTCAAAAATGACAGTTCACACGTTTCAAATCAGCCTTGTCAAGGTTTATACAGAAACCCAATTGAGACGCTTTGGATATAACCTTAAATTTGTTCATGCTTGAAAATCCTCTGATGTGGGTGAATTATAAAGTAACTCTAAAAAATAGTTGGCCAAAATTCATCTAAGGTTTAGTAAAACACTACTATAGGTTTGGAGGGGAATTACCTTCTCAATTAGGGACAGGTTTGAAAAACTTTTTCTAACCTTTAGAAAAAAGAGTTTCGTAATTCGTCAAGTTATGTGTTTGATGATCTGAAACATTTGAATGTGACAAAAGACCGAAATTAAGTGGGGGGTTGCAGTTTCACAGCAGTAATAAAATAAGCAGGCAGGAGGATTAGGAGGTTAATAAGTGGAAATTAAGGTCATTATTATTAATGACCTGAAAAACTTACTTTGAAAAAGTTTAGTTTCAAGTCGTAACTTGTAAAGAGATTTAAAAAGCATTTTTAAAGCTAATTATATGAAATCATGACATTTACTACTGCTTTTTACAACCACTGTTGAAAAAAGTATGAATAGCGAACTCTGACATAGTTTGATAAATATCATTAGATGATGCAGGTCAGCAGTAAACGCCTGTTTGGCATCTTCACATACATTTGTTGAAAGCAAAACTAGTTGTGGTTGTTGTTGCAGGAAACTGAGGTTGGCTGCCAGGCAACAGGTTAAAGAAACCCTAAACAGGTTTTGTTTTTACTTGGACATTGTTGGAAACAAAGCCACGATTGTCCAACTGCAGCTTTTACTCTGAAACCTTTTAAATAATCTGAGGAGCCGTCTTCGAATCCAGCTGACCTGGTGTTTGACACCTTTAAATTCTTTTCCCCAAAAGATGCTGGTCTGTTTGATGTGTGAAGCTACTCAGGGTTTGTCGCTGGCAAAATGTGGTCTGTGGTCAGAGACAGAGTCTGACGTTGACATGCAAGAAGCTCCCTGCTGTGGTGTTTCATCATCAGAGTGATGAGAGAAAGAAGTTCAGACATTTACTCACATTTTAAATCTTTAAAGACAAGATCGTAGGGTAATTTTAGTAAAAGACGAGCACTTCTTGTATTAAACATCATGCACAGCTCAGGGATAATCAGTCTGCTTCATTAAGCTCTCTTACATAGCAAAACAGGAAATGCTAAGAACAGTCACTCAGTTTGTATTTTTACATTTTAAAATCCCATGATACACGGAAATTACATTTAAAGAATGCTTTCGAATTGAAGCCAACTGTTACTGCAAGTTGTCTAAATACAACAAAAATTTCTCAGTAACTTTGAAAATGCTTCTTCTGTGCGTTGCTTATAAACAGGGGAGATTTGGGACATAAAGCTCTGAGCCCGCTGCACTGAATCCCGTTGAAAACTTCCTGGTTATTCCACCAAATGTTCATTTCCGAGTTAAAATATTAGTACTGTTGTTTCTAAATGAATATAAATGTGTTTTCTTTGCATTATTTGAGGTCTGAAAGCACTGCATCTTTTTTATTATTTTGATCATTTCCCATTTTCTGCAAATAAAATTTTTTTTTGCTTCCAATTTCAGACATGTTGTCAGTAGTTCATAGAATAAAAGAACAATGTTTATTTTCTCAAACATATACCTACAAAGAGTAAAATCGGAGAAACTGATTCTATCAAGTGGTTTCTTAATTTTTTCCAGAAGGCTTAAACAAACAACAAATCATAGGTTTGGTTTATATCAAACCAAAACTAGTGCCAAACTACTTTTCTGCATCATGTAAGCACTAAATATGTGACTGCGCACCGCACACGTTTAAGATGGCGTCTGATTCAACAAGTCAGTGCGAAAATAAAAAGATATTTCACTGCATTTTGTAGGTTCTTTATCTGCTTGCTTGCTTGTTTGTTTAAAGACTTAAAGTGTTGTTTGATCAACCTTAAAAAACTACAATACTTCAAATTCAAAAGTACTTTCTTGATTCCAAATGGAAACTAAATGTTGCTGTAACTCAAAAGACTTTACTGGTTATCTGTGTCATTCTGTTGTGGTTTGAATTAGCTTTATCTCTTTATTTTTATGTTTTATATATATTATTACTGAAACTTGATAATTCTTCAGAGTTATTGTAATCTGCGATGGCTGTCAGCAAGAAAGATCTCCTGTAGTTGTCTGTATTCCAGTGAATTTGAAGAAGCCTCTGACTGAAGACACGGTTTTTCTTACGTTGGATTATATCCAAAGTTACTTTTGCAAAGCAGAATACCAATATTTAACAGATCAATATGCTTCTGTTGATGTCATGACGTAAAGCTTGTTTTCTAGATTGTTTTCATCAGAAGAGTCGAGGTGATGTTAAAAAAGAGCTTTAGAATCTGCTCCGTTTTTTTTTCCTGAAGTCTGTGATGATCAGCTGATCTCAAAATACAGCAGAAAAAAACCCACAATCCATTTTTGAACATTGCAGTGAAGAACTTTAACAGATCTGACCACAAACAGAACGGCTGACCTTAGAGTGTTGAACTGTGTTTTAATTGGGGATTAATTTCAGCCTTCATCTGAACTCTTCGTTTGGGTTTTTGTATTTACATGTAAGTCTGGCTTTCAAAACTTTATGGTGCCAAAAAAACATCTGCAAAGAAATTTATATATTTTAGCTTTGAAATTTATGTCCGATTAAAATCCTCGATGCAGCTTTCCTGCGTTCAGTTTGCATCTCTTCCTCTTCTCTTTTTTCTCTACTTTTCTCCAGCTGCTAACGAAGGCTCCCGTGTCAAAATAAAACCTATAAGAAAATAATAATTGGCTGTTATTAAGAGAATTGATGATTCCACGCGCTCTATGAGGAACGGGCCCACAGCATCACTGATAACCTGCTATACTAAACAGTGGGATGAAGATATTCATGCTTTGTTTCATAGCAGAAACACACAGAGTGTGAGGAATAATCCACTCGGTGCTCACTTAGTGTAGAGTTGCATCAGATGGTTGTTTGATTTGACTTCATGATCCCAAGACATTGCCCAGTTAGCCATGTAACCATTTTCTTGCAACCATTCCTTGAACAAAGACGATTCAATTCAATACAAAAATACTTTATTAATACAAAAGTAAAATTAAATAAATTAATTTCCTCCTCTCTCTCCTCGCCTCATTTTCAGCTTCTCCAATGTTTATCAGGCAGTTGTAAACCAGCCTGTTGCTATGGTTACGCATCCTGACAAAATAGCAAAAACATAAATATTACAAAAATAATCAGTCCAACTACACAATATCCAAAAAAAGAAGGAACAGTTGTCCAAAAAGTTATTTTCCTCCAAGAAAGCAGGAATGAAAAGAGAAAAAAATATCAATGAAAGCACAGAGCTACTCTGTGTTACTTTCTCATTTAAAGAGTGCCAAGAACCGTAAGCCTTGATATATCAAATCATATTATTCACAAAACAGAAATTAATGGTTTACTAAAGTTAGTAAACTCTCAACATAAACATTAAAAATGCTTCAGTTGCATTTATTTCACAGAAATGTCCCAACTCCTGTTTTTGAGAGCTGCTATTCTGCAACATTTAGATGCATCCCTTCTTCAATGCACCTGAATCTAATGACTAAATCTCCTCATCATCATATCTATCCAGCTCTATAGAGGCAACCAGCCATTTACAGGATTCAGGTGTTTGGGAGAAGCAGCCTTCAAGAACTGGAGTTGAATATCGGTTGTATAAAAGTTTCTGGATTAAAGAACTCATTTGGCACATTTGTAGAGAAATTCTCAGTTCTTGCAAACATTTTCAAAATCTGTTTGCTATGTGAATTATCTTGGCATCATTTGATTCTTTTTAGCTTAGATATTTCTCTATAACCTAAACTTTTTCTTCTTAAGTGCTTTGAGATAATTTTTGCTGTAATTTTGCTCTATAGCTTCTATCCAGGTGCAAAACTAAACAATGAGACAATATTTTGTTTCCACGCTCATCAGCTCTGGAAAAATAAAATCCTGAAACTATTGAGTCCAGACTGAAAACAATATTGCAACTTCTGATCAGAGTCTCACCAATTACATTATTATCCCAATCTCAGATAAGTGATATCTATGACTATATAATATTTTAACACGTTTCCTTTCATGCTACGTTTTAAGGTTTATTCTTTAATAACCTCGAATGTGAATGTAACAAATCTTGTTTTTCCTTTTGTAAATAAACTAAATTAGATGTTTTAATTAGGTGTTTAATTATTGCCGTTTTTTCAGTTCATGCCACGGTTTTAACCAAGTATGGAATTGACATGATCTTCCTGGTTTATGCATGTTAGCTTAGCGTGTACAGGCACAGAAATCTTCTCTCTCCCCTTTGGCTTAGTTCGTGCTTGCTTCCATTTATACTCAGAACTGGGACATTCTAATTTCCCAGTCGGAAAAATCAACTGGAACGCCTTCCGAAGTCGGAATGTCACTGAGAGCAACTCCGCCTACCCCGAGTAAAATGGACTTTAAATATGGCCGCTCCTCGCATCAAGTGTACGAAGCTGTGGCGGAAACATGTTTTATTTTACAAGACACTCGTGTAAAATAGAGTCTAAAATCAATATTACATGTAGCGCTTGTATCGCTAAACTAAACAAATGAAAAGTGGAGCTAGCTTATCGGAAAGTAAAGCTTTAAATGATGTTTGTTAACGGTTCTGCGAACAATAATGTTACCATTCCGACTTCTCCAGCCTAGAACGTCGTTACGTCGGGTCTGACGTACAATCCATCTCCCAGGTAACTGGAACGCAGCGTTACTTCCGCTCTACGTTGTTAATGTCGCTTCCTGTTTTGCTGAATCTTACTTTCGTCATCTTCTGCCACAGTTAATCTCGTGTTGTGGAGGTAAAGCACCAATTTAGTTGTTTACTAACCGCTAAAAATACTTAAGAATAAAATATTGTTGCATGATTGACGCATAATTCATTCAGTCTTGACTGAAACATTTTACTTTTTCTCGGTGACTTTGTCTTTAGATATCTTAGCAAATCTAAGTCTTGCCGTTTGTTTTCTCAGGAAAAGCTGGTATTGGATCTGAATCTACCTCCTTTTGCGTCATATTAAAGTTTTCTTTGAATTATTTCAGTCATCAAAGAAATCAGACATACAGTAAGTTCAAACTTTGTAATGAAAGCATCAACCTTCATTTTATTTTGCTTTGAAACATTTATTCACTTTGATCTTATAAACTGATCATTGAACTTAAAAAGAGAACCAGAGACTGGAACTTAACACACAGTTGCTCAAATAAAAACCTTTTAACTTCCTGAGAGTAGATGTCATTTCTGTCATTTTTTTAACCCAACACATTGTGACACAGATTATCAATGGCAATCAGGTCAGCTGTGACTCTTATTTTGAAAGGCTCAAAGGCGTCATTGGAGGCGGCAGAAACAATTTGCTCTTATGGATGATCTTTAAGAGATTGTGTGTGTGTGAGTCACAGGCAGCATTTTCAGGAAGTGTTGTGACAGAAACTACCGGCCTCTCCTGTGAGTCCACTTCCTCCTCTCACCTCAGCCCTACCTCTTGTGAAACCTGCAACCTTTGTACATGCTCTAGGGTCTTTTCCTGTTGCAGCCCCTGGTGCATTTTTGCCCCACAGAGTGCATTTTTGCCCCAAAGAGTGCAATGAATCCCTCAAGGCAAAACAATAGATCGATATGTGTATACTTGTTGAACCATGATGGATTTTGGTGCTTATTTTTGAATGAATGCAACACTTAAACCCTAAATCTTCTCTTTAGGTTTGTTCTTTGTGTACAAACTGATGCGTTAATATAAAATTCAACCTTAAATACACAAATTAAAGCAAATAATTTTACAGCTTTGAGCTTGAGTCTCAAAAAGGCTTGTCATGAAAAAGGGGAAACTCATTCTGCTGCTGTGAAGAGCTGAATCTCAACAGTTTTTAAGTTTAAACACATCACTGGTCATGTAAAGATGAAAATTTGACTCGTCTGACACCCTCATCTGTCGTATAAACAAAAGCTGTTTTACTTTAAATACAGTTAGTTTAATTGTTTTATCAGTTTTATAGCCATCAAACAGCACAGAAGCACTTTTCTTACTAAAAGAGTTGCAAAAATCCAACTTTTTGTTTGTACTTTGTAGATAAAATCTGAATGCGGATGTCAAAGTTACACACCTGAGTTCACACAAGTCAAAGCAGCTCAGAGGATATGAAAGTGGGGTGTTTTACCATTGTTCCTGTGGGCCTCTCCTCCTCAGGCGTCCACCGTCCAGAGAATGTGTGTCAGCTGTGTGTGCGCACCGCTAAAATCCACGGTTCGACCTCGTTAGACTGCAGCCATCACCCAGGGGAGGCACAGCCGAAACCAGCAGCAGGCGCTCGCACTGCAAGACCTCCAGCAGAGCTGTCACAGCTACTTCCTCATACTCCCACCGGCAGTGTGTGAAACAAGAACTGAACACACACAAAGATACACACGCTCACCGCACACTGCAGAGAAGCTACTTCTGTATTTCTGTCATGCTCCCTGCAGCCAGGGAGGATTAAGTAATGACCAGTGTGTTGGTTACAGCTATCAAAGCTGCAAACCAAAATTAGTCCGTCAGATTCTTCTGGGATGAGCGGAGGAACGGTGCTGGCGCTGAGGGATAATTTTCTCTAGTGTGCTGCCAAATGATGATGGGTGTTTTGTTTGAGAGGTGCTGACTCCACCCAGGCTGTGGTTGCTTCACGCAGCCTCCAACGCCCTTGATAACTGATGAGTTCAGGAACAGAGTACAGGAGAGCGTGTGGGTGTGCAGGTGCCGAACAGGCAGTTTTTGGTTTGTTTTAGAGCTTCTTGAGATGCGTCCTCCTGCATGGCCGCCTGAGGTTGGAGTCACTTTCTCATGGCACTTTATCATTTAAATACGAGTCATTATTTAAGGTTGTAAGTTAAAGTTTCTGAATGTTTTCAGTTTCTTTGGAAAGCCTCTTTTGTTTTTCTCCTCTGCTGGAACAACACTAAAAAAACCACAAAATTTTAAGTATTTTTGTCTATTTCGAGTGCAAATATCTTACTGCAAACTTACACATAACTTTGCACTATAATACAGGGGTTTGTTTTAAGTTAATAATTCCTTAATATTGATAAAAAGTACTGGTTCCATTGGCAGATTATTTCACTTATGACATGTTTTTCCCATGTTTTAAGTGAGATAATCTGAGTGGATTCTCAGCAATACCAAGAAATTATTCGAGTATAAAAAGCTCTTCTTGCTGAAAAGTTACTTAAAAGTTAGTTTTGTCTTATTTCAGGTGTAAAGAGGTATTTGCACTGGAAACTAGACAAAAATAATTGGGTAGAGGTTTTTTATTTTTTGCAGTGTAATAAAAACTTTAAACCTTAATCACTCAATAAAACTGAACAAACCTGAAAATAAAAAAAAAATTCCAGGTAATTTTTTTAACCAGAAAAATAAATTTTCTAGTAAAATTTATTTTCAGGTAAAAATAAAATATAAATGCATATAATCTTAACATTAGCAACAAAGCTAACCCTACTCAGACCTCATTTTCTTCCCTTTTTTCATTAAAATTAAGGAATGATTAACTTACAATCTCCTACATTTTGCTGAAAAGTGACTTGCAAGTTAGTTTAGTCTTTTTTCAAATGGACCTCTTGGTGCACTGGGAACCAGACATAAAAACTTGGTCATATTTAGTGTTTCTGCAGTAAACAGTTTGTTTCTGCTTTGCTTTGTGTTTGTTCTCCCCGTTTCTCGTGTTGCTGCCTCCCTTCCTGTGTTGCTAATCTCTCTATGGGTGGAGCTGCTGCGCCTGCTGCACTGATTCATGCACTGACTGCCATCTTCTCACAGACCCAAAAGCTTTTAAAACATTTTAAAAGCCAGAAAACCTGCTAATAAAAGCAATTATGCTTTTACTAGCAGATGTAGCTCTTGAAAGTCATCCTTCCAATGTGTCACAGTTAAACATCAATTAAGGCTTTTTTAAATTCAAAAATAGCACATTACATAGTAATGATGACATGCAGCACGATGAGAAGTGAATATTCAGCAATGCAGCTTCTTCTTACAGTCTTACTCCATTGACGGGTCGGATCAGCCTGAATACGAGGGGAAAAAGCAGAAGTTATTGCTTCATTTTGGTTTTTCCGTGAAAACAGGCCGATTCTGAAATAGATGAGCGATGATGTAAACTGTCAGAGCAAAAATCCGTCCCAGACTGAGAGCAGATCAGCGTTCACTTCCTTAAATCAACAAAAAGTTTAATCAATCTAGTGTTTCCTTTAAAGGAAAAAAGTGGATGTAGTGCTGACCAAAATGCATGAACAAAACAGAAAAAATAACAGCAGGGCTACGGAGATACATCAGTGACATATTTAGTTTTTACTCTTAGTGAAGATCTAAGTGTTTGTTTGTTTTTTTACATTTGCTAAAACATATAGTGAGACATATGTGCGAAAAAGATTGATCTCCCCGAGTTACTGCAGTGATCTGCTCCTGGTCAAAAACAGCCAATCAGAAGAAGGAGGAGGGTCTTAGCATGTCAATCAACCCCATGTATGTACTGCTAAATGCGCTAATGGTGCAGAAATGACTTACTGTTACAGGAAAACCATTTATCTGCAGTTAAAATGGGCTGCAAAAAGCATCATTAGCAGGGATGCTATTAAAGTGTCATTTTCTTTCCCTTTATTTTGCATTAACAACATTTTTATAAAAAAAAACATGCAAATAAGTTTTAAAATAAAACTAATTTGATTAAATTAAATTTGATCATTGCTTATGTTGTATACATATTTACCAGAGGACCAACACATGTCTGCCATTAAATCACATTTAAAGACATTATTGAGACATTTTAAAATGTGGTGTTATTTTCTTTAAAGTCATTCCAGAACAAGTAAATTAAGTACTTAAGTATTTTACTGTGGATTGTTTCCTTAAGCAACAATCCGAGCCCTAGGCTACAGAAATTGGTGAAGAGTTTCAGCTGGAAAGGAAATTTTACATATGATACAAAAGCATGCCACACTTTTCAGATGTTTTTGGTTGTAAAAATGTAAAATCCAAAATTTCAGGAGATAAAAATACTTTTGTAAGACTCCTTGTAAGCATGAAAAGTGTGCATCATGCTGGATCATGTCACTGCATTCAGGAAACAGGGCCTCTGATTAATTAATGTTTTGATTTTAAATACTAATTATCACTAAATCTGAGAGATCACATAAATAAATGAAGACATGAATCAAAGAGGGCCTCTAGTGGATGAACCTTTATAAACAGCTGCACTTATACACTTCATCACTATACGTTCTACTTTGCAGATCTGTAATATTAAAAAAAAAGGCTCAAGTTGATTTTTAAATAAAAGATTTTAACAACTGCTTACATGATACATGAGGAATAAACAACAAATAGCACCATTCAAAACCGAAGCACCACCAGAAGTAACGGGAACAAGAGTGCAGCCAATCCCCACAAAGACAGACAGTCACTTCCTTTCTTCACAGAGAAACGTTTGAGTGTTGCAACGAGAAGCTGCTCTAAGTGTTGACTAAGCCCCAGCAGGTCGGAGCGCACAGTGAGCATCACAGCGAGGCCACGAGGTGCCAGGACTGAGCTCCGAAAACACTCTGAGGCGGCATTTCTGCCATTTCGAGTCGGAGAAACGCGGTTTATGCGTCACTGAATCTGCTCTGCATCAGATGAGGTCGTACCAAAAGTGGGACACTTTGAGGTCACGATAAAAATAAACTCAGAGTCAATTTCCCCAGAAGGAAAAAAAATAAAAATAAAATAAACGGTGTCAGCGTTTCTGACAAAATGCTGTGATTTCTTAATCTCGGAAAAGATTTTGTGAAGGGACTCTGTAGGCCCATTACTTTACTTCATCACTGTGTATCAGATTCTTTTATTTACACAGAAGAGGATTATAACCATCAAAATTATTTTATATAAAATTCAGAGTTTGTTCTCTAATTCTGTGTCAATCTGTCAAAATCTAAATAAATAACCAAACTTTCTTAGGTATATGTCAACAATTACGTTGTTAGTATGTGAAAATAATCACATAACTACAACAGAGTATTAGGGCAAATAAAAAAAATCAGTAAGTGTAAGTTTTCACCAAAAAAATCTGAAAATTTCTAGAAAAAAAGAGAGAACATTCCTGGGTTTAAAAAGTAAAACATTTGCTGGAAAAAAAACTCAAGATATTTTGAGATTAATCTCAGAAATAAAACAAATGTATATCTGGAAAGTTGCAAATTATCAAGAAAAAACTTGAAAATATCTTAATTTTTTTTCTCAAATTTTTCTGAGATTAATCTTAAATTTTCTGGCAAATTTTGGACTTTTCAAGCTCAGCGTTTTTTTTTTTCCTAGAAAATTTCTGATCTCAATCCAGAAATGTCTGACTTTTTTGGCAGAAATTTTATTTTTTTAATCTGCAGTGGCCCTAATCTGCTGCCGTACTGAACCGTTATAGATTTGTCTCAAGGTGCATAAACTATCAAACTATTTTGATTCTAGAAGTCAGGATGTTTTTTCAGTTATCTTCTTCCATACATTTGATTTATGGAAATGATATAAAAAATCTGTTTTAGATGTAATTTTGTTGTATATTATTCTCATTTTCCAACTAAATGTAGTTTTTACTCCAGTTCAAACCAACCAGATCATCATGTTTCATTATTAGATTATTGAAACTGTTACAGAAACTGATACGAGATACGTTTCTTTACTTCATGTAATTATGTTGTCTGCATTTCTTTTTTTTTAACAGTTTCCTGAAGACATGACCATCTATCTGCAGCTGATTGTTCATTTTAGTTCAATTATCCACTTTCCCGGCTCCGTAAAATGCATAAAAAATAAAGGATGGTTTAATATTTGCAGCTTAGATCCTATAACTTCAGTCTGAAAGCAGGGATTTGATCTCTGGTGTGAACATTTGATGACTCATTGAAACATTTGATGACGCGGAAATGGCTCCAAAATTACACAAGCACTAAAGTTAAAATGATTATGCTCCCCTTTTGACATACCAAATAAAAAAACTGGCTGCGATATGACAAAGCTGCATTCATACCAGAAAAAAATTATTTTCTCTCTTACAAAATTTATTGTGATCTCTTTAAATTGTATTGATGGTTTTTTGTTTTTCACTGAAGGAATTTTAAACTTTTCTGATCTGTAAACAAAGTGAGCATAAAATGTCTCAAACGTTAAATCACCTGAAATTTTATTTCTGGACACTTTTTAAATGTAAGGCTACAAAAATATCACTTATTCTCCTTTGTTTCACTGAATTTATAGAAAAAAAAACAAGTTTCAAAGGTAGAAAATAATATTCATAATCACAAAAGATGAAATGTGCTCTTGGGTTTGGATATTTCTATTTTTTTTTGTCTTTCACAGGAAAGAAAAATGTGTTTTAAGACGAGATAATCGTCTAAAATAAGAAATAAGAGCTCCAGAAGCAAGTTATGATGAAATCAGGGCTGGCTTAAAGTTTTAGACAGAGTAACTGCAGTTTTGTGAAGGAAACTGAAAGTCGGGGTTCATGCCTAAAAAAAGGCTGATAAATGACGCATTTAATTGCTCAGATTAGCTTTCCTGATGCAAAGAACGTGACAAAAATGTGAGGCTGCCTCTCTCCTCTGTTGGCCTCTTCCTGTTGGCAGAGCTGTGGCTCACTGTGCTCTGTGTTTCCACTCAGTATTTGCACCTTTACACATGTGGGAAAAATAAAACAAAACAAAAACTTTACAACCAGGCTGCGCGGAGTGAAATCTGATAATGTCAGACTTCGTGCCGAAGTCTGACAATCCGACAGCCTGTTGTATGAAAACAATTTTCAGTGAAGCTCTGCTGCCTGTTGTGATTTAACGGTGCAGAGGTGATAAACTGTAGGAGAAACTACCCAAATGGCAAGACCGCGGCGTTTTCCACAACTTCCATAAAGACATCAAGTCAAATGATGGGACAAGAAACTCAAAACACACAAGTCCTCCGACTGCAGACGCTTTGTGCAAATCCAAATCTGCTCTTACAACCGAATATCTGCGAGGACTCGATGGTTATACTGATATGCAACAAAACAAGGACATAAAAACAGTAAGTCAAGTAAAAGCTAACATTAAAATATGATTTAAAATTAAAGGAGCTAATCTTTTTCACTGCAAAAACACAAAATCCAAGTACTTTGGTCTAGTTTCTAGTGCAAATATCTTAGTGCACCTAAAATAAGAAAATTAACTTAGAAGTATAGAAGCTTTAAATCAATAATTCCTAAATATTTATGAAATTGTACTTACTCCATAGACAGATCATTTCACTTATACATGGAAAAATATCTTGCCATCAGGGGCAATGGAACAAGTACTTTTTTCCATCAACATTAATAAAATATTGACTTGAAAGAAGCTTGTATCTAAGTTACTTGTAGGTCAGTTTTGTCTTCTTTCAAGTGAACTAACATATTTGCATCAGAAACTAGACCAAAATGAATTGGTAAGATTTTGTGTTGTTGCAGTGCTGTGGGCACAGATACCGTGAAAATCACTTCCTTTCAAGGTGGATGTTTTAAAAACGTATAACAGGCTAAACATTTAGGCCACTCAAGTAATAAGAAGTGGAGTTTAAGATTACTGAAACCAGTCCCGTAGCCAAAATAAAACGTATAGCACCAAAATATTAAGACAAAGTCAAAGTTTAGAGAGGCAAAGAGAGGGTCAGCTGCTGCCTTCCTCCCTCCTTCCTCTCAGGTTTCAGCGCTGGACCCTCTCCTCCAGTGGAATGATGTTTGGTCCAGAGATTTCAAATCTGGATTATCAGTGAGGAGAGGAAAAGAAAGAACCCCTCTGACTAACTTCAGGATTTGTTTGTCAGCATCGACAGTGGACCCCAAACTTGAACCGACGGAGAAACGGTGAAGGCTGCTGCAGCGAGGCTCAGTGGAAAAGGTTCAGTCTTACTGTTTGACCCCGCAACCGCAGCAGCGTCAGTGTCCCTGGCAGGTCTTACAGCACATCTGTCTGAAATATGGCCGGTTGCAGAACTTGAACCTGAGCACCAGGGGGCAGTACGCCACAGTGCTCACATCTTTACACTCTGCAGAGACAAAGAACCACTGCTTTACTAATGTGTTGGACAATCTGATATTAGCAATTTATCTACTCACCTCAGCATATATAATCTTTTTCAAACTACTAAAAGTCACACAGCAAAAACATTTGTTGTATGCTAATCCTTTTAAAATCTTATGACAAACTGTTTTTGATAGATTGAGATTTGTAATATAATTTAAGATAAGATTATTTCCTCCTGTAGAAAATGGTTGTTGAAAAATAACAGCCTGTGGATTTTGAGGATGTAGCATTTAAATCTTTGATAAAACCAAAAGCTTCAAAGAGTTCACAAAAATATCAATCTGTTAACAAACTTAACATAATCAAAATGAAATCCGGAAGGAGGAAAAAAAGAATAAATGCTGCATTTATCTTATCTAGTGTTCACTGGGTCAGGATTTATGGTAGTTCAATTACTGTGGTGGGCACCGCAAACTAAAAAGAACCAAAAACAGTTGTAGCTAACGTGCTTCACCAACCGGAAATTTAGCAGAAGCTAATGCTAAAGTGCTAACTTCAATTTAAATTGCACCTGCCCTTGAAAAACTGCAACCCTCGAGCACAAATATATTTTACGTCTTCTACAACGCTCTTACATACTGTATCTGTTATTATATCTTTCTCTCTACCAACAGTTTTCAATTTTGTTCCCTTACGTTTCTTGTTTAAAATAAAAAAAGAGAACGCGAGGAGAGGAAACTGATCTACTCGGTATTCGCCCCTTTCAAAATAAGAGCATGGATATAAAAGTCTACCTACTTGAAAAACTCTTAACTGCTGATAACCAAAACTTCACCATGGATGTTTAATTTTAATCAACTGATAATCAACTGACACTTATAGCTTTCCCTAAATTTATCGAGGGAAAGCTATAAGTGCATTAAATAATTTCAAAGTTAGCTAAAAATGCTGAGCGAAAAATCACCTTTGCTATTAGCACATTAGCGGAAGTGTGCCCACCACTGTTCCCTGAATGTAATCTGAATAAATAAAAACTCCTCTCGGTTCGACAGAAAGACCAGCACTGAAATTTGGCCTCTGACCTTCTGGATTCTCCGAGTTGACGGGCAGACTGGCGTCACATTTGCTCTTGCACTGCTGCATGGCGGCGGGCCGCTGATGCTCCAGACACTCGTTGGATGGCTGGCCAGTGTGGGCCAGGCACTGAACCGAGCGCATCTCCTGACCCAGACCACATCTGGCAGAGCACTGAACCACACAAACACGTTTCACAGAAAGATAATCCCACCACATCTCAACTTGGTTTCCCAGAAGTTTAATTTAAAAGATAAAACTAACAGTGCTAACAGGAAGACTAGTGGCTAACAGTTAGGCTTAATCCAACAGGTAACAAAGACTTAGGAAGCTTACATATAAACACTTCCTATTTTTTAATTATGCTCTTTAAAAGCTGCAAGCAACTTCCAGTTATTTCTGATAGTTCCTAGAAAGTTATTTTTCTTTTTTCAATGCCCCATAATGATTTACTAAAATGTCAATACTGAAGCATTAAACATGGCTATTTAAGATACCTAGATTAAATTACTCCATGAGATAAAACAGAGATTCAGTTTATTAAGTAGTTGTGAGAATTTCATAATTCATGAAGTAAAAAAAATGCAGTAAAAAGAAAGAACACCCTCTTTAAGTTCAAGGGTTTTATTCATCAGGAATGGAGACCAAACAAGAAACTGACGGAAGTGACAAAATTTTATTCAATTTCAGTTTAAGCAGCCCTAAGCCAGTGACTGCCTGGTTTGAAACTCAAAAATGAATTTTGTTTTCCAAACACTGCACACACCACAATAAAGCTTTGATATATCACTGTAACCACTCTTCAGTTTGGAAGTTGTTACTGAACAAAAAGAGACTCAAAAAGTTAATTCTCAGACAATGAACTATTTTATATGGATAGGTATTTTAAAGTCAAATGTGGGATAATTTGTCAATAAAATAATCCTGATATATTACAACATTTTGGCTGAAAAACAAAAGAATTTAGATGTTGCTATCCTCATGTTTGTAACAGTTTTTAAGTTTATTATATCATTTTCTGTCCCACAGAAAAAAAGACCCATCCTCTTTTTGCTCAATTTTATGTTTAACTTAATTTTAAATCCTAAAAATACTAAAAAAAAAAAACGGCAAATGGCAAATAGTAGATACTGATCTAAACTTATAAGTTGTCTTTTTCTCAAAAAGTCATGTGACATTTGTGTCTGTAAATGAGTTTTATTTGGCTGGCCTGAGAGTAAAAGTGGCTCTTCAGTTTGTACAAGTTGCAGACCGCTGGCCTAGTCCAAGTTCAGACCTTAAAATGATCAAAATGTTGCAGTGGAACCTTAAGACACCAGCTTCAGCTTGCCATCCTCAGTCAGCGAAAGCAATTTAAAGTTAATTTTCTACACACTTACCGGCTTACCCAGGAATCTGTTTGTTTTTGTAAACTTCAGGTTGAATTTACATAAATTTAGAACCTGGTAAAAGAGGGTGTACTTTCTTTAACAATGAACTGAACATTTTGATCAGGTAAAAATGGTGAAGGACGCGTCTCACCTCGCCCCACGGGCCTGTCACCCAGACAGGAGGAGGGCAGCGCTGCAGGTTACAGCGCACCCTGGAGGTCGGGCGGCCATTTTTGGGACACTTTGAGTCTGGCAATGTGTTGCCGCTCTCCCCGCTCTTACACAACACCACTCGGTGTCGGTAGCCGGGACCACAACTGGGTGTGCACTGCATACAGGAGGAAGGAAAACTATGTTTAAACCGACAGGCACAACGGCGGAGAGATGGAGGAGCAGGGAGGTCACTGCGTTCATAAGCATGCAAAAAAATATGAAACTTCATCAGTCCAGCAGGGGGCAGCAGCTGCAATGAAACAATGCAACAGAGTTTTTGTAAAACCTGACATATTAATGTGCAAGTGTAAATTTTGAGGTTATTGTCCTGGCCAATAATGAACTCTTGTTTCATTATTGCAGACAACTGTGTGTTTTTGGGATGGTTCAAAACGGCAACTGGTTGTCTAAAACAACTGCAAAAGTCAAAGTAAACATGTAAGACTGCAAAAACGTGTTTGTACCTCGGACCAGTCCAAGGCCAGCCACTCTGGAGGGCAGCTGTGGTTGCTGCAGGGCTCTGTGAACGAGGGGCGGGCGGAGCTGCAGGCCGAGTCGTCCAGGACCTTCTCCTCCACCGCAGAGATTCTCCTTTTACATAACACCTCCCGAGTGCGCAGGCCGCCGTTACAACTGCGGCTGCACTCCGACCACTCTCCTGTCCACCAGCTGGAAGCGGAAAGAAACCTGCTGTTTGTTTTTAATATCCTCACACGCTGCTGTCGCATTAAGAGGGAAATGCAAGACAAGTTTTTAACTCCCTCTCATGCAAAGACAAAGTGATCAGGACTCACTTTGGGGAGCACGGCTCAGTGTTGCAGGATCTTCTCTTCTCTTTGGGTTTGCTCTTCTTGTCACAGAAGTGATTGTAGACGACAGAAAGATCCGACTGCCTCTTACACACAACCTGCTGGATCTGTACACCTGACCACAGGTGAGACAGAAAAAATACAACACAATGCCAAAAGAAACACATTTTATCACCCAAATTTCACTGCATTGCACTGCAAAAACACAAACTCTTAGCAAGTATCTGTTTAGTTTCTAGTGCAAATATCTTAGTACACTGGAAATAAGACAAATCTAACTTCCAAGTAACTTTTCAGCAAGATATAAATGTTTGTTTATAGTTAATAACTCTATAGTATCAATAAAAGTACTGGTTCCACTTGCAGATTAATTCACTAACAAGACATTTCTGCCAGTAAGACTGGCATCAATATTCATGAAGTATTGACTTAAAACAAGCTCCTCTATCTTGCTGAAGAGTTACTTGAAAGTTAATTTTATTTCAAGCATATTAAGATATTTACACTAGAAACTAGCCCAAAATAAATGGTAAGAGTTTGTGTTTTCCCAGTGTACTTGAATTTTCTGTGATAATTGCTCCCCATTTACTCCTATAGCAAAATCAAATCTATTGCTAATTTGTCCAGTGAAGGCAACTAGGAGTTCATTGAAAAGCCTGACCTGCTGATTCTGATTCTGTCCAATCCAATTGCTAAAATCAGATTATTTTCCTATTAATCAAATGCAACCACAATGTCACGACTGTGTGAACAGTTCATAACCTCAAAGCAACCCACATGTGTATAAACGTCAACAAAAAAGTAAAAAGTTGATGTTTTCACTGTTAAATTTCATTTCTTTATTTACGTTCAGGTTACGAGTTGATCAGCCAGTGACTGTGTGCAGCCGATAAAACAAATTTAAACATGTATTTGTGTTTTTTCTTGCTCTCCTACCTCCAGCACACAAAGCCGAACAGCGGGACCAGGACGTGTACTGCCAGGCGAAGCCGCTCATGGGATCCCTGCTGACAGGCGGGTTGAAGCGATAGTGGATCCCCTGGTTGTCCTCCCTCACCAGCACCTAAACCCACAAATGCAAAACAGGATTAGATTCACTAATTTCACTTTATCAAATTCTAACTGTGCATCTTTTGAACACTATATTTCTTCTGTCCCACTCCTACCATGACAATGAGGGTCATGTTTGTTGGGCCCAGAGCTTCTAGCGTTTCTGGACCGTCGGTGGGCCGCCGGTAGTGGAAAATCGTCCCGGCAACGCTGAACCTTCGAGGCGTGTCAATGTTAAGCTTCCCATTGATAAAATACTGGTCGTTTTTGCTCTTCAGGACTGGAACACAGAGAAGAGAGATCAAAAATACACGCCACAATTTGAAGCAAACTGTAAACACATGAGCAGTGACTTTAAAACCAGTATATTTACCTCTCCAGTTAGAACTAGCATTAGTTTTTAATCTGAATGAGACTTTTTGACAAGTGTTTGTATAAACCATCTTCGACTTACCAAGGTAGTTGAGGGAAATGTTGAGCTCTTGAATGTGGATGAACACTGATCCTTTAGGAATTCTCACCACTTCTTCATAATCTGGGAGCAGAAAACGCCAAAAAAAAACAGAAAAAAAGAGAAAGTGAAATGAAGGAGTTTTATTCACTGTGGATCAGTGTGGTGTTTAACTCTGTGGGACATCAACGTGCTAAGCAGGGGCTTCAGTTTCCAGCTGCATTCCTGGGCAGACATCCTCCAGTCTCTGCTCAGAAACAACGTCTCTGCCAGGACCTGGCTTCTCCCATTTTCCCTCCATTCACTCCATCTGTCTGTCTTTCGTCCATGTTTCTTTTTTTTGCTCATCTCACCTCCATCTCGCCTCACTCTGACTTTCTGAGCTTCGCTCTGCCGTCCAGCCAGAAGACCAGGTGCTGAAGCACCATAAATAACTCCAACTCACTGGAGGATGACAGAATGAAAAAGCTCGACTGGAATCTAATTCCTTCCAGCGATTCTTTTTTTGGTTGTGAAGCTTTGAGAGGCAAAAGATTTTGGTTTCAGAAAATTTAGCAACACCTCACCACCTATGTGACAGATATGGTGGACAAATTGGGAATTGACATACACTGCAAAAACATCAAGTCTTACCAAATATTTTGTCTAGTTTCTAATGCAAATATCTCAAAACATCTGAAGTAAAACAAAACTAACTTACAAGTAACTTTCAGAAAGATAAAATAACTTATTTTAAGTCAAAAATTGAAAAAGTATTAGTTCCACTGGCAGATTATTTCATCTATAACATGGAGAAAAAGCATCACTATAATTTAAATAATCTGCAAGTGGAAGTTGTACCTTTTAAAATAAATGTTAAGGACAAAGAACAGGGGAAAAAGAAATGCTAAAAGAATCAAAACAGATTGAACTTTTTTTTATGTTTTCTCAAACTAAAAACACAAACTTCACTGCATCACCATGCAGAAATGCAAAATTTTACCTAGTATTTATGTCTAGTTTTAATGTAAATATCTCAGTACAATTGAAATAAGATAAAAATAACTTACAAGTGGCTTTTCAGCAAAATATAAGAACTTAATACAAGTGAATAATTCCTTAATATTGATGAAAAAGTGCTAATCGCACTGGCAGATTTGTCTTTGTTACAATTTAAATAATCTGTCAATGGAACTGGTACTGGTACTAATCAATAGTAAGAAATTATTTACCTAAAACAAACAACCAAATCGCTCTAAAAGTTTCTTATTAGTTAGTTTTGTCTTATTTCAAGTGTACCAAGATAGTTGCACTACAAATCAGACCAAAAATATTTGGTAAAATTTAGTGTTTTTGCAGTGTAAGTGCATCTATGCTGAGATTGGAGCACAAATAAAATTAAAATAAAAAAAACACAGGAGCATTGGGAAATCTGATCTTTCACTTTTTTCGAACAGGCTGAACTCCAGTACACATTCATGTCATTTTTCTTAGCTTTACAGTGCAGACGCAGTGGTTTGGCTTCATTCTGTGGTCATAAAACTCTCCCTATAGGGATAATGTTATCACTTGGTATGTTAATAATAGAGTAAAGAGGTTTCTGGGATGTTCTTGCAATGTAATGCATAGTTTCATACTAAGTTTTGCCTATATGCCTCGCATACTTTTGTTTTTTTTGAGCTTACACTTATATTTACTGCCTTACAGCTTTATAATCTGCACATTGCAGAGTCTATTGGCAAACAACAAAACCAACAAAATAGAAGTGGTTTACTGTAATGCATGTGAACTGTGTGCTTGCATGTCATAATGCAGATGTGTGAGACAAACAAAACGGGAAGCCACACATATAAAAGTTGCCCCAAAACTCTGCTGCAGGTCAAAAACTCCAGAGGGAGACTTTAAATCACTGAAGCAGACAGCAGAGGAGAAGTGTTGGCTGGAGGCTTTTTTGGAGTTGGGAGAAATCAAAAGCTTGCTGTAGACATGACTGAGTGATTCTCCCAGTCATAAATCCTGACCAGTACCAGAATAAGCCTCCAGTCCTGCGCCTGGAGTTTGAGTTTGAGATGAAAAAGCCCTGTGCTGTCATTGTGACCGAGTCTACTTCACTTTGAAAAGTAAAGCTTCATTTAATTTAAACTCACTTTACTGTGCCGCATTTGAAAGATACAGCATTATAAATCGACTTTATTAAAAAGCATAGCTGGATGTTGCAGGATTTTGTAGTTTTTTATTTTTTTAGTTGTGGAGGAATTTCATCCGCTCCTCTTTCCATCCTTGCTTCAGTTTCTGGAGGCTTCCAGACATGGATAGACAATAAATCAATAACAATGTATATCGCCATAGACACCTGATCAATATCAATAGAAAACATGTGACAGAACTCACTAAACTCAAATCCAGAACCACAAGGCATTCTGGGAGATATAGGCAGCCTGGAGAGGCTTAGGTAACCTGTCATGGCTAGTTAAGCAAGGTTAGTGACATTAACTAACTCACCCACTCTTTGGTTACCTAGCAACAACATGTTGAGCAACTTGTGGTTACCTAGCAACAACATGTTCAGTAACTTGTGCAGCAGAAGCTTAAGGTTTCGCCACTCATAGGAGCTTAAAAATAAAAAAAACAACGGTGTGGATTGAAAACTTGATAAAACAGGAAAGGTCATGCCATCAGCTTGGTAGTATTTAAAATATTTAAAACAAAACTAATCAATAATTATTGATATTGATATGAAAGGGTTATACTGTGATACGTTTTGTCAGCCCTACTTCTAATAGAAAGTGACTTTCTTTAAACACCAGCTGTGGCTGCAGATGTTCTGAAAGCTGCAGGGACGTCAGACGGAGGCTGACAGGTTGACCCGGTTCTTGTGGCTTACAGCAGGAGTGCATGTTCAGGGTGTGGCCCGCCCCAGAGAATCATGGGAGGGGGCGGTGGGTGTCAACACAAACATGAGCGACTCTGGAGTTGGTGTTGTGGGCAGACTGTCACCTAAAATACATTTGATAGCAGCTGGACCTCAAGCTGCAGCGGTCGGATTTACATGCCGCGTGTTTTTGAAAGTAGCATCTGTGTGTGACCCTTCTGAGTTCGACTCAGGTCCAGTAGGTCGACGTCCTGACAGACACATTCAGGTTCACTGTATTTATTCTAACAAAACAAAAAGAAAAACAAATCAGGTTGCTGGTTAACATCAGTCTAGCAGCTTCTGCCCCACAGTTACCGACGGCAACAGAAAAAGGGGGAGGAGCTGTCAGCTACTGGTTGCTATGGTAACCACCAACTGCCAAGAGCGGCGTAACAAAACTTAAAACGCCAACAAAAGTCTGGAGAAACAACTTATTGACTAAACAAATTAAAATTCAAAGAATATATAAACAAATTTTGACAAACTTCAGATCTATAATATTGTTGAAATGAAACAACAATATTACGTGTGTGTGATGGTGACGTCGATTCCAGTTTTTAATTACATAATGACCCTTTATAAACTCGGGAAGTTGTTTGGACAAACAGTTGCTTTTGGTGAAAATCTGTTTTGAGTTTATGCAGGCATAACCACTTCTGAAACACTTTTTAATCAGATTAAAACGTGTTTCAGTGTTGTTTGCATGGGTTAGGGTTAACAATCCACTTTGAATATTCTGATTCATGGCTCGCATTTATGGGATGCCAAACTTTGGAATCTTTTCACTGAAATGTTACAGGACTGTACAGACATTTCTGATTATAAACAGTTGAAATAATTGATAAAGATAATGGCAATAAAGTCATTTGGTATTTCTTGAAGAGCATTCATCAGAAAACAATTCAAATAAGTCAGATAATTCTTTTTTCAAGATATGTGCAATTAAAATAAAGAAAAATGCAGGATTCAGAAAAAACAAGTCCTAAAAAGTGTACAAAAACAATAACAAATGTGAACAGATAAAATCCGGGTTGCAGGACTGAGATTTGTAAAAATAAACAATGAACATATAAACACAAAGAGGTGAGTTGATGGTTTTAGTAAACAAATGTTGCCAAACAGGATCCAGCTTGTTTTGTAAAGCAGTTTCACTAAACATGATAAAGGCGATCAAAGAAGTGTTTCAACATAAAGAAGTTCAAACTCATGTTCGACTGTGAATAGGACTTCGAATTTCAATGTGCAAATATGGATGTTATGTCTGCATCACTGACATGATAATCTTCCTCAGAACTTTTGAAAATATAATCTGTAAGAAGGTATTACAGATACTTTTCATTTTTGTTTTAAAAATGTTTTTCTATTTATTTTATGTACCATTCTAATCATAAATGTCGTGTTTTTATTAGATGTAAGCAGAAAATCATCATAATTAACAGAAAAAGGCTTGAAAACATCAGCTTGTGTGTAATCAGTAAGTTATTTCGCTTAGTGGATTGAATTACTGAAATTTACTAACTTTTAAATGTATCTGACTTGCACATACCTGATTTTAAAGCAAAGTCTGGCCAGTCGAGGTAAAATAATTGCAGAAATTATGATTATTTTGAAATCCTTGCAGTGTTCATTGGCTTCATTTGAAACTTCAGCAAAGTTAAGCCAGTGCTTGTGTAAATACATGATTATGAAAGTATGTTTTCATCTTCTGATTTGCCCAGAATCCATCTCTCCAAGATAGCAAAAGCCAGATATGCATATTTCCTCAACTACAGACTGTGTTGCATACCTTCAAATGGTGAAAGCTTCCCGTCTAACCTCTGGGAAGATGAACACTTGCTCCAAAGTTGAAATTAAACTGAAATACTTTCTTTTATTTGATTCTAGCCTGGATTGACTATACTTGGATGATGAAAGCAGAAGGATAACAGGTGAAGCGTTTTGATTTCTACCTCCTTCAGGCAGCGAGTCGTTGAAGACTCCCTCCACCGAGGTGCAGCTGCTCCCATCGCCGCCGCAGATCCGACAGCGATCTTCACGCACGTCCGACCCGAGCACACGATCGCAGCCCACGTGCTGCGACAAAAAGACAGGAACGAGTGAGCTGCAGAGGTCAACCGGGGTCACGGGCGGAAGAGGGCACAGTCGGTGAGCTGAGAGGTGTCAGAGGCCGAGCTGACGAATTACCTCCTAATGTCTTCCAGACCGCTTTTTCAAAACACAGAAATATCAGATAGAAAACCCAGATGTGTGCTGCGTGTTTTTTTTGTTTTTTTTTTGTCTGATCCTGAGCAGACACAACGCTCTTTGGTCGCTGAACTCAAGGCTGTCGACATAAATAAATTTCATGATGAGCGAAGCAGGTGGTTTCACTCAAACTCTTAAACAGGGAACAAAACTGAAACTAAACTGTAGAAAACGAACGACGACTGCTCCGATTTCTGTTCCTGCACGCGGCGGCTGGTTGATGCCAGGCAGCGTTAATTTTGACAGCAAATTTAATTTTACTCAAATTTTATTTAGTTTTAGTGGACAATTTATAATAGCATTTAAGCGAACAAAATTATGTATAAAATGTAAATACTTTTTGATCAATTCACTTGAATTAACACAAAATTAATCATGTTATAGCATAATGTTATTGTATGACTAGAAAGACAGATTTAACTTTTTTTCCCCAAACATCTATTTTTCTGATCTTGCTTTCAACAGTAACATATTTCAACCAGTTGGCCTGCTCTGCCTGAAAATTGAAAATATAACCAATGACAGAAGTTGCATGAGTGTATTTCACTCTTTCACAATTAATTCTAATTAACTGTGATTAATCACAATTAATGAAAAAGTGTAAAAAAAAAAAACAGCACATTTTTCATTAAATGTTTAGGAAAATGTTTTGTCATCTTAAACCAAGCTGTTTCAGATTTTCCAGGCTTTTATATTTAGGATGGCTTAAAATAAGTGATTTTGTTTTAAATGCAAGTTAGAAACGTTAACTATAAACTGGTTGTGCTTCGGTGGAAAGATAATTCGCTACTGCAATATGTGCATACCGCCTTGGTTTTATCTAAATGTTCATCATATTGATTTTTTAAAGTGAATTTTCCGCTGAGCACTCCAGTTATGGCTTGTTTGGCCCTTCATACTTCATAAAGGATTGTTTCTCACACCTTGTTGGAGAAACAATCCACACAGAAGAAACTCGCAATAAGCAATAAATCAGTTAACTGCATGATAAACTAAAATATCATGCATTTGCATTATAGTTTTTCT